AAAGAGGCTGGAAAAAGATGAATAGGGAATTCGCCCGCCACATCCTGCGTCATAAAGACAACCATGTGGAGCCTATTTGGCCAAGTGACACATATTCCAACAACAGCACTCCAGCCCTCAACCCCACCTCCCTCCTTTCAGTCTTTCCATCCACACAGAAAGGTCCAGGAGGCGAAAAAAGAAGCGGGGGAGGGGTCTGTGGAATTATGCTGACACAGGGTAATGAGAAAGGGATGAGAGGGGGAAGAAACACAAAGAGACTCACACAAGTAAGGAGAGACACCGAGAAGTTATGTAGAGAAGACAGTAACTGCAGCAGTAGTTTTCCACTGCAGTGTGGAAAGAGTTGCTGAGCTTTTCTGACTTGGATCCTGGAACGCTTCTGTGTGTGTGTGTGTTCTGATCACCAGGCCACGTTATTCTGAAGTAGATGGGAGCTCACTGCTTGCATAACATTGCCAAACTTTCCCAACGTGCTGCATGAATGAAATATGAATCTCGCAGCCTGCCGGCCAAATGTAGTTTTCACATTGAAATGCAAGGCTTTCCTATGCTCTTATCTGCATTTATTAGATATTTTATCTCTGCACACATCTCACTGTCTGAATAAATCACCAATGACTGATAACAGTCTCTATCTATGGATGTGAGCGTCTTCAAATATTTGCTGTTTTTATATTTTTAGTTTTTCTTACTGAATTTTCACATTAAAAAAATTAATAAATTCAATTAGAAAAATGCAAATGCGCCTAATAAGGCTGTGATTGGTTGAATATTCCACACTTTTCTAATGGTGTCAGTCATTCTCCCAGAAGTCCCTTGACCTCGGCAGGCCCAGAACATGTCAGGAAGTGGGTAGAACGGACCGTCATGTACGATTCTGTAGCATAAAGTCAGCGGCCTAATTCAGTCTCCCGTTGCTGTCTGAATGTTTGCTATTTTAATTTCTATTTACACCTGCACAGCCGTAAGCCAACAAGTGTCTTCCTGTGCCTCTACAATGAGAGAACAATTTCTGCATCCTGTTACACATTTATACAGAAACAAGTTAGAGTAGACACTCTGTGAATGTGGGTTCATATACAGTTCACATTGCATATTGGTTACAGAGACATAAATACACGTTTTATTTGTCCTCGTTTTGCTTCTTAAAAAGAGCAGATTTCCAATCGTTAAAATCTCTTGGTAAATTATCGGGATAATATAGGGATGAGAAGAAAAAAGCATTTACTTTGAAGTGATCAGTATATCATTGCCAGTATATGTGTGAGCCAAGATGCTTAAGGGTTAAAAAAACACACACTTTGCTCTGCACTCTTTGAGTACTCAGGAAGTGATGATCTTAGTTCAAGGGCTGGTTCGGCCAAAGGACCATTAAAACTTGGCCAAGGTCGACTGTTGACGTTCATCTTCTAATTTCTCGAGGGCCGCTCAGGCATGCCGTCTGCTTTCAAATGCAAAGTTGCACTTTAGGAGATTAGAGACACACCTGCAGTACATATGGGCCTTCAGCATCACCACGGATTCTTCCATCCTTTTATC